TTCTTCCATTCTCCAGATGAGCACCTGACTCATTCGTCCATGCTTTTATTTGTTTTTTAAAATCTTCTCTGCATTATTTGCAGCCAGCGACTCTAGGCTATTGATATTGTGGGCGTGTGCGTGTGTGAGAGCTCATAGGCATGAATGTGTGTACAGATGTTGATGCGCATCTGCACGTGTGTGGGAATGCGTGGGCACTCACATGCACATGCGTGTTTGTGCCGGCATGCCCAGGATGTCAACACAAAGGGCTGTGGGGGTTCCCAAGGGAAACTGTCTGCCTGGATCTCCTTGTACAACGCCTCGGGGTGGTGTGGCGCACCAGACCTTGGCTCCCTGCTCTATGCTCTGCTCCTGCCTGGCGACTGACTAGTAAGGAACCCATGTGGGTGTCAGGTGAAATGCAGCCACAGGGTGAACCACAGGCTGCAGGCAACACTGGGAGGGCCTTGGATTTGTATTACCTATTGGTGGTTGGGCTGCAGGTGCATAGCTAAACTTCTCCAAGCTTGTTGGCCTCCTCTGGTCCAGTGGGAAGTGCTCCTGGGAAGTGCTTAGGGAATTTCAGGCCCTTGCAGGACAGTGGCTTCTTCTCTTTACCTCTGTGAAAGGCTGGCACAGGTCTAAGGCCCTCTGTTCTGGTGGGAGCCTTTCTCTGCCTAAGCCTGAGCCCAGCTACTGCTCGCTTGGCCCATGCTCTTCCCAGCTTCCAGGCAATCCCTCCACTGCCTACTGACCTGAGGCCTGTGAGCCAGGGCGCCATCTCCCCCCCCCACACTGTGCAGGCCCTGAGCTGCCAGGGTGAGGTAGGGAAGACCTGGGGGGAGAGTCATGGGGTGGGTGAGGGGGCAAGGTAGGAAGGAGGGCTGCTCTCTTCTCCCTGTCCTTCTTCAGATCCCAATTTGTCCAACTGGTAAATACCCGTGGAGACGATCCAGTACAATCTCAAGGGGAAGTCAAGGTTCAGAGCGCTGACCTCACAGGTTCACGGCCACATGGGTACTGCTAGAGCTGGGGTCACCTCAGTGTCAGAGCTGTGTCCTTCCCAGAGCGCCGTGCGTTTCTCAGAGGCCACCGTGAAGGCGCAGACTCTGGGCACTGGCTCTGGTCACGCTAAGTCAGAAGCTGGGCTTACTCCCCCTGCACCCCGGTTTCTCCTGCATGGTGGGGGGCGCTGACCCAGGGAGCCGTGGCTGGGGTCCTGGCACCACAGCGAGGCCAGCATCAAGCGTGGGACAGGATGTCTGACTCTGCATGGGGATCCCACTTGCACGCGTGTGTGCACATGTCCAATGTGTGTTTACACACTCGTTCCCACCTATACATGCTGCCGTGAGACCTCTTAATAAAAACCCAATTAGTCTTTCTTTAACTTTCCTCCGGATGCTTAAATATCATTTCCCCAAACACAATATAATGCCTCTAGTTTTCTGTTTCAATCAGGCATTCAAGTAGCATCTTGACTTGTATATAATATAGCATCATAGAATGCTGACATCCTTAATAATAGCAATTAGTAATCAGTTGTTTCTTAAGTAGTTTGATTACACGAGTTACCAAATTGTACCGTGGCTGCATGTGTGGGGGCAAGATGGGTCTGCCACCCCTCCCCCGGCCGCCCTTCCTCCCGCCCTGTGTTCTGGGTGGCTGGTGAGCCAATCGGTCAGGAACAGATGCAAGGACTAATAAGGCAATTGCCACTAGTATTAAGCACCAGAGGGTCGGCCTTGGCAGGAAGTGGAATGAAATCATTCTTGGCAGAGAAAAAGAATACCAGCGGTGTTGGTAGAAATGCAGCCCGGGCCTAAGCAGAGCCACGTGGCCCGCCCACGCCCGGCTCTGCACCTGAGTCTGAGCTTCTCAGGGTGAGACGCTCTACTGGACTCTGTTGGGCAAAGGCTTGTCTCAGCGGTGCATGTGACTTTGAGTGTTTGCTGGACATATAAAAACCCGCCCTGAGGCCGTCGCTGTGGTTTTGACATTGTTTGAGAATGGCCTCCACAGATTCTCGCTGCAAGCCAGGGGAGCGCTGGACCCTTTGGAGAGGTAATCAGATCACGGGGTGTGCACTCTGAAGGGACTAAGGGGGTTCTCATACGACGCCTGGTAGAACCTACCGGAAGGGTTGTTTTAGAAGTAACAAGACTGACCATTGCCAGTCTCTGGCTTTTTTGTTGGTTGTGGGACTTGAACACAGAGCCTGAGTGCTGTTCTGGAGCCTCCTTACTCAAGGCTAGCACTCTACCACTTGAGCCACAGCTCCACTTCTGGTTTTTGAGTGGTTCATGGTAGATAAGAGTCTCATGGGGACTTTTCTGCCCCGGCTGGCTTTGAACCACCATCTGCAGATCACAGCCTCCTGAGTAGCTAGGATTGCAGGCGTGAGCCACTGGCGCTCTATTTTCCCATGTCAGCCCGAGTGTCCCCTAATGACAAGTGTGCCACATGAGTCACTTGCCCATGGGGAGAGGGAGATGTCGTGTCCACCTGCGTCCTCTGCAATGCAATTGCTGATAGCAGGACAGGCTCTTGGAGCACGTGTCAAGCTATGTAAGACGCTAGCACCCTGAAACCAAGCAACTGTCCCGGCCTGAGCGCCCTCGATGCCCCAGCCCCATCCCTGCTCTCCTGTCACTACCAACCAGCAGGGCGGAGTTTGCACGCACAAGCACTCCATCTGTAATCACTGAGAGGAAGGGGGCTTCCCAGACGCACCTTTCAGCTTTGCAATAGGGACAGTGAAGATGTTTCAGGACAATTAGCAGCATGGGAAGAAACAATACGTGAAACGAGGGAATCCAAATGTACAATCCCATCCCTTCACTCTCGGGGCTCGTTTGTGGCTGGCCACGCGGACCGAGGGTGCTGCGGGGCAGATGGCCCGGCGGCAGGTGGGCAGGGCTCGGGTGGCCCAGAGGGTGGCGGGAGAGCAGCGAGGCACCCCACCCTGACCCCGAGGGGCCGGAGAGCAGGTGGGGCGCAGGCAGGGCTGGGACTGCAGCAGGAGGACATGGCAGGAGGGTCCCCGAGAGGGAAGACCTTGTCTTCTCTTTCCCTTCTAGCACATTCCACAAGCTCTCCCCGACCAGTGTGAGGGACAGCAGGGAGAGCAATGTCCTTCATGACCAGCCTCTCGAGGTGGGCCCAGGGAGGAACACAAGACAAACCCACAGCCCATCACTCTGTGGCCGATCTCCAGTTACAACATCTCTTCTCCCACCACCAGACCCAGCTCCTGGAGGGCGGTGGGCACTGGGTTTGGCATCCTCAAGAATCGCTGGCACACCCTTATTAAGTTGATGGTTTCAGTGTGAATTCTCATGATGCTCACGTTGGAGAGCTTGCAGTGACACACATTTCCTCACTGTCAGAAGGAGCAAGAAGCCTTTGGAAAGCTATTTGGAAATCCACTCCAATAAAATTATATAGTCTTAGCCAGTGCTGGTGGTGCATGCCTGTAATCCTAGCTATTCAAGAGGTGGAGGTCTGAGGATTGAGGTTCAAAGCTAGCCTGGACAGACATATCTGGAACCCTCCCACCTCCAATTAACCAACAAAAAGCTGGAAGTGGAGGTGTGGCTCAGTGGTAGAGCTCTAGTCTTGAGCAGAGAAAGCCAATTGAGGGTGTGAGGTCCTGAGTTCAGGCCCCAGTACTGGCGCGCACGCACGCACACACACACACACACACATACACACTATACACACACATGATATATTGTTCTACTAATACTGTTTCTAGAAATGTATCCTAAGGTTAAACTTCGGATTACAAAAAACCATGCAAATAATATAAAGGTGATATTTATGGTGTATTTGAAAGAAAAAATTATAAGCAAATGTCCTCCTGTTAGACTGTGGCTGAGGTATTTTGTGACTGGTATTTTGTAGACACGTGGAAATGATATGGCTATTAGGTGAAATTTGCATATGCAAATGGACAAGTGTGGTAGAACACGTAACCCTGGAACAGCTGGTGGGTAGAGATGGGGCCACACAGCATTTATTTTTCTCTTCTTAATCCTCTCCTGTTGTGTTGTACTTGTTACATAACACACATGTATAATACATGTAGCAGGTGTGTGTGTGTGTATGTGTGTGTGTGTGTGAGACAGTTCCTCAAGTCAGGATGGAGTCACTTGTGTCAAATCCTAACAGTAAACAAAGCTGGGAGGCGGTGAATGGGAGGTGGGAACTCTTGCTAACTCAGCGAGATAACTTCACAAAGCGCTGAAGCCTTGCCTTGCGTGAGGGCACAGGAACCTTCCACAGCAAGTGCGCGTGCAAGGACATCCATCCGGCAGCAGCCTGTCCAACTTCAAACAGATGCCAGCCTTCCTCATTTCACAGTGCTGGGCATGCAACCCAGCGCCCTGTGCTTCCAAGGAAAAGGTTCTACCACCGAGCCGCATCCCTGACACCGACTCTCATTACTGATCTTGCAGTCAGGGACTTTCCTTTCAAAATACCCTGTGCAGCCTTCATTTGCCTTCGAGCCTCCCTGGATGCAGCACCTTGAACTCACCCCCGCTCTGCGTCCGCTGGGTCTCCGGCTCTCTGTGGTGGCTCGTGCAGTCCCATCACAGATGCCATCTTTGCGGAAGCCCTTGTCCTTGGAGAATCTCCATTTGTTATTTAGGTTGTCATATAAACCTCAGAGCACCTCAGAGCTACTGGGTGCCAGAGGCTCCCAGCTGTCCTATTTACTAGCTATTCTAGGAAGCAGGAGGCTGATTTCTGAGGATTGAGGATTGAGGTTCTAAGCTAGCCCAAGGAGGAAAGTCTGTGAGATGCTTACCTCCAATGAACCAGCAAAAAAGTCAGAAGTGGTGGTGTGACTTGAGCAGAAAAAGTTCAAACCCCGGTGCTGGGACACACATGCACACATATGCACGCGCAAGCATGCGCATGCACACACGAGCACACACACACACACACACAGAATCTGGTATCCCGGAATGTATCGTTTGTCTATTTCTTCCTCCCCCAAGCAATCACCTTACCCAGCAGGGCTCCGGGCGGCCGCTGGGCCGTGGGCTCCTTCATCCAGTCATCGTTGACCGGCTCCAGCACGGTGTCTGCGGGCATCCAGGAGTAGACCAGCTCCCTCGTGGAGCCCTGGTCCCCGGCGTCCAGGGCAGCCTGAGTCTCCTCACCATGTCTGAGCCGGGAGTCTGATTCCCTCCCTTAATCCAAGTCCAAAGCCAGCGCTGTCGCTGCGCGTGGTATAAGCAGAGGTGACGGCAAGGCAGGCTGCGGCGTCTCCTTCAGGCCCTGGGCACGCACAAGCTCTAGAAGTCAGGTCACCTCTTATCCACAGCGCGGCTCTGTCCTGGGAGACAGAAACGTCTCCCTGAGCCTGGCTCGGCCCCCGGGGGGCAGAGGGTGGCGTGTCATACACCCTCACGCCTGGCGGCCACCAAGGGCCCGCGGCTGGAGCAGAGTGGAGTGGAGCAGAATCTGGTTTCCACAAAAGGACAAAAGTACCCCATAAGCAAGGCTCACAAAGTCCCTAGCCGGGTACCAGTGGCTCACGCCTGTCATCCTAGCTACTCAGGAGGCTGAGATCTGAGGATCATGGTTCAAAGCCAGCCTAGGCAGGAAAATCCATGAGACTCATCTCCAATAAACCACCAGAAAACCAGAAGTGGTGCTGTGGCTCAAATGGTAGAGAGCTCATCTTGAGCTGAAGAACTCAGGGGCAGCGCCCAGGTTCAGAGTTCAAACCCCACACCACCACCAACAACAAAAAGGCTCCTATACAGTCTGGTGGCTCATGCCTGTCATCCTAACTTCTTGGGAGGCTGGGAATGGGAGGACCATAATTCTAGGCCAGTATAGGCAGAAAAGTCCATAAGTCTCCAGTGCCAAGGAGAAGCTGGACATGGCGGGGCGCGCCCATGAGCCAGGCAGCCACAGGAAGCCGAAAGTGGGCGGAACACAGTCTAGGTGGCTGGCTGGGGAGCAAGGCCTTTCTCTAAAACTGGAGGTGTGGCTCAGAGGCCTTGTGCCCGTGTGGCAAGCGCAAGCCCTGAGTTCAAGCCCCGTGAGCCCCTCCCCTGTTACCTTGTGAGCACTCGCTGCAGCCTCTCCAGCCCTCAAGGCTCACAAACTTGGCCCAAAGCAACAGAGCCATGCCGAGCCGAGCGTGTGGAAGCACAGCACCTGTGGGGAGCGCGGCGGCCGCTAGGCGGGGTCTCTTCCCTGCCAGCCTGTGCACACACAGCCGTCCTGCGTCTCCGTGTGCGCCACATGAGTGTGGGGACACATGGGACCCTGGAAACACCCCTACGGGAAGGTCTTGCCACCTTTTCCTTTCCTCCTCCTCCTCCTCCTCTTCCTCCTCCTCCTCCTCCTCCTCCTCCTCCTCCTCCTTCTTCGTCAGTCATGGGGCTTGAACTCTGGGCCTGGGCGCTGTCCCTGAACTCTTCAGCTCAAGGCGAGCGCTGTACCCTTTGAGCCACAGCGCCACTTCTGGTTTTCTAGTGATTAATTGGAGATAAGTGTCTCACAGACTTTTCCTGCCTGGGCTGGCTTTGAACCATGATCCTCAGATCTCAGCCTCCTGAGTATCAAGGATTACAGAGGTGAGTCACTGGCGTGCTCGGCACCTTTTTCTTTACCTTCGCTCTTCTTCCTTGGTGATTTATCTTATGGATCCACATGACTGGACTCTGGTGGGTCGCGTATTATTCTGGATGTGTTGGGAGTTGAGCATTGAACCAGGTGGGTTCTGAATAAAGCCTCCTGTGGGTGGGCCTCACTCATCCAGGGGAAGGCTTAAAGAGGGCAGACGTATCTCCTCCCAGGGAGAAGGGATGCTGCCAGGAGACCGTGTCTGCTGGCCTCGTCCGCCAGCCCGCCCTGCAGACACGCCCTCCCCACCTCCCTCCTCCTCCCTTTCCCCCCAAGTCCTCTTGGTTTTGTGTCCCTGGAAGACCCAACAGAAGCCCTCAGCCCCCGTGTGTGACTTTGCAGGTGCTGTTCCACCCCCCTTTGTGGTGCCAGGCGCTGCAGCTCTTGGCTGTGTTCATTCTCCTTCCAGTAAAGCTGGGCCTTTTGCAGTCGTGCAATGCGCACGGCCCCTGGGTGAATTGTGTCTGATTATTTTGTTCTCCATTATTGCCTCCTTGATTTCCCAGCCTCCCTTGCAACACAGCTCTGGCCAGGGAGAGCAGGTACGTTCTGATCTGGGGGTCTCAGGAGCTGTTTGCTAGCGTGGTCAGGGCTAGCGTGGCTACCTTCCGCCACAGAGCGGACTCTGCTGACCCCAGCTCCTCTGAGTGCAGGAGCCATGGCACTGCGGCCCAGGCCATGAATTTCTGGTGTCACAGATGCTGAGAAGCGGCAGATGCGTGATCGCTCACCAGGGCACTGACTCTCTGGTCCTTCTTCAGGCCAGGTGTCTGACCAAGCTGCAAGGAGTCATGGCCTCTGGGTGTTTTTGGGGGGTGGGGGGAGGGAGAAGGTCAGGTCTAATTATGCAACCCAAGCTGGCCTTGAATTCTCCAACCGATTGATTTTCTAGTGCTGAGATTATAGGCATGGACGACCATGCCCAGCTGACCTCTGGTTGTTCCTTTGGTAAAAGAATTAGGGCTTTGAATGAGGTGTTTAGAATTTGAATTTCCAAGTCCAGTGATTTGCAGCACCAAATGCGTTATATTTCAGGAGGAACTGAGCACACTTGATAAACCGCAAGAAAGGGAGGGTAGTGGCCACAGGAAGATAATCAGAATTGGGGTGAGGTAATTTAAAGAAATACAATGAGCACTATTAGAGCCGGCTCCTAAACTCCAAATCAGAAGGGAGGAAAAGACGAAGCTCTTGTTAGGCAGATAATAAGATGACAAAGCCTTGCTGATCTTAATTACCACGCTATCTGCTGGGTGTTCAATCAGCGGCACATACACTATGCTAATTATTCCGGCTAATTTTGTTATAATGTAATTCTTTATCAACCCTGCTATGTATAAATTAGGAATTGAAATGTAACTACCACAAATTATATTTAAGGCAACACGAATTTCTCTATTTCAGAACAAAATTTCTCACTCTGTTTCTTTCTGTCTTTGTGTGTGTGATTAGTTCCTCTGACCCCTTTCTCCTGGTCTCCAGGTCCCACAGCTGGAAGCCTGCATGAGGGAGAACCGAGCGCAGCACCCAGTCCTTTCCCTTTGCTGCCTGGAAATGAGAGATTTGACTTTCCCCTTTAGTAATTGTCCTTGAAGGAGGCAAAATCTATTTAAGTAATCAATGCAGACAGATCCTGGCTGTCTCTGAGTCAGACAGAGGTCCCTTCATTGCTCTGTTTTAATTGTATGTATCATCAGAACTGGGGTTTGAACTCGGAGTCTCACAGGTGCTAGGTGCGCTGCCACTGAGCCAGCCCTGGTGTGAATCTCTCTGCATTATCCAACCACCACGGTCACAGGAGCAGACTGATCTTTCCTTGGAAGAAGAGAGACCAGAGATTGCACCTCTTCAGCCTCTATCAGGACACTGGTGGCTGTCATCCTAGCTACTTAGGAGCTGGGATTTGACGATCACAGTTCAAAGCCAGCCTGGTCAGGAAAGTCCGTCTCTAATTAATCACCAAAAAAAGCCGGAAATGGGTCTGTGGCTCAAGTGGTAGAGAGCTCTAGCCTCAAGCAAAAAAGCTCAGGGACAGTGCCCAGGCCCTGAGTTCAAACCCCAGGATCGGCAAAAAACAAAACAAACCACAAATCAAACCAAGCTGTATAGGCAAATTCTGTCTCCTAAGGTACCAATAAATGTTCCCAAGCAGGCGGGGCTGAGAGAGCAGAGAGAGGCAGGTGTGGAGAATCGCAACTCTACCTGTGGAGTCCCCGGGTTCGCACGGCCTCCAGGTCTCAGCCATTGTGATAGGGCAGGAAAAGGAAACAAGAACAAAACAAAAGCAAAAGGATCCATTATTTTCAGCAGATGACAACAGCTAGTTAGGAACTATAAGCAAATCAGAAATATCAACTAGAACTCATGCAAAAACAACAGCTTCTCTATAGAGGGACAGAGTTAGAAAACTGGGACAGGTGTGGAGGAGGGAATTTTAGGAAAATTAATTCAGAAAAATTTAACAAAAGCAGAAGTGTGGGACTTGCTTTGTCAAGTAGTACAGGAGGTTGTGGAGACACAGTAATAAATGAATAGCGCATAGCAGTGGTACAAGGGGTGTGCTCAGCGTGACATCCCACACAGGGACACATCCAAATCCACCGCACCCCCCCCCCCCACACACATGGACACATCCAAATCCACCTCACCCCACCCACACATGGACACATCCAAATCCACCGCCCCCCCCCCCCACATGGACACATCCAAGTCCACCGCACCCCACCCACCACTCTTCTTTTTCCTTACTTCTTGAAACAGTTTCAACAGGTCTCACTGTTTCATTTTCATAATGCAGACAAACTTCTTCAATCATATTCATCCTCATTCACCCTTCTGAGCTACAATGAGAGGGTTTCTTTCTCTCTTTTTTTTTTGGTGGTACTAAGGTTTGAACTTAGAACCTGGCCATACCCCCAGCCAAGCTTTGTGTTGGCTATTTGGAGATAGAATTTGACAGACTTTTCTTCCCAGGTTGGCTTTGAGTCATGATCCTTTGGATCCCAGGATTCTGAGTAGCTGGGATTATAAGACAGAGAATCCTAAGTAAGCTCTAGTAATTCTTAAAGTGGAAGGTGGCAAGAGAAGGATTCTGGGAAAAGGGACCAAAGACACTTACAGTTTGTTGGTGAGCAAGCTAAACTGTCAACCAATCTGTCAGAGTAATATTAGGAGATGCAAATGGAGAGAAGATATTAAGCTGAGGCTTTAACATCAGAACTATAGAAATGCATGTTGGCTGGCTCAGGGATATGAATTTCTGGTGGATATGAATTTCTGGAGAGAAGAATGTATAATATGATTCTGCTTTTGTTAAAACATATAAAACTATGTGTAGAGAAAGATGGAAGGACAAATCTAAAATATGAACAATGAGCTGGGCTCACACCTGTCATCTGAGGATCATGGTTCAAAGCCAGCCTGCACAGGAAAAGTCTGTGAGACTCTTATCTCCAGTTAAACACCAGAAAAGCAGAAGTGGTGCTGTGGCTCAAGTAGTAGAGTGCTCGTCTTAAGCTGAGGAGCCCAGGCCCAGAGTTCAAGCCCCATGACCAATAACAAAAAAGAACAATGGCTCCTGTTAAATGAGCATCAGTATTTAGTGTGTTTTACAGGAACATGGTGTTAGTTTTGTGATCACGTTGTGATCAGGATTGGGACTTGAACCCAGGGCCTTGCTCATGCTAGCCTTGTATCCTACCACAGGGCCATAGCCCCATGATTATAATATTTACTCATCCTATTTTTTTTTGACAGTATTGGGTTTGTGTTTGCGAGGCAGGCACCCTACCACTTATACCATGCCTGCACTTCTTTTTTGCTTTCGTTATTTATGGGATAGACTCTTTCATTTTGGCCCACAACTGGCCTCAGGTCATGATCCTCTTACCTATGACTCCTGCATGGCTGAAGGTGTAAGTCACTACACGCAGTTTGTTTAGTGAGCTGGAGGTCTGGCTAGCCTTTACCTTGGACTGATTTCAAACCTTGATCTTGGGATCATAGGCATGTGATAGTTTTAAAAACTGGTATAATCAGACTGGGCATGGTGGGTCACACCTGCAATTCCAGCCACCTGGGAAGTGTAGGAAGCAGAATCAGCCCAGGGCCGGCCCTAGGCAAAACACACTACCTTATTTGAAAAACAAATAAAGCAAAGCAAAAAAGACTGAGGGTGTGTGGCTCAAGTAGTAGAATACCTACCTAGGAGGCCTGAGTTCAAATCCCAGCATTGCCACCCTACAAATAAATGTATCTATTGTTTGTGTGCTTGTTTGTTTAATATGTTTATTTCTGCTGGAGACTCAGCCTAGTGCCTCTCACTGTGGAGCACTTCCACACCGTATCCATCATTGCTCTCCACACCCACAGCACGCATGGCAGCAAAACCTGAAGGAATTCTTTCTTTTAGCTCCTGGCCGTGTCTTTGGTTCTGTGGATTCTAGGGCAGAGCATCATGGAGGCAGAAGGAGGTGCTCATGCTAGCCTAGCAGACAGAAA